CCCGGGACAAGATGGCAACAGCAGAAAAGTCTTTTGTATTGGAGGAGCCAATCCCAGTGGTCCTTTCAATGAAGTTTATATCCTAGACTTGGAAACATTTCAGTGGGACACTTGTGAAAGTCCAGCACTGATTGCACGCTACGAGCATTCCGCCTTTGTGCCACAGAGTCAGCCAGGGAAAATTTACATCTTTGGAGGAGCCACCCAGACAGGTAATTTAAATGACATTCAGGTCTTTGATGTCGGTTCGAAGACATGGAGCACTTTAACTCCTAAAGGAACACCTCCTTCACCAAGAACACATCACGTCAATGTCTGTGTTGGCAATAGTTTCATTGTATACAGTGGAGGACAGAGCGGTGCTGACCCAGTCACTGACCGCCAAGTCCATTGCTACGATGCACCCACTAACACCTGGTCAACATTAAACATTAAAGGAGATCCTCCAAAACCTCGCCATGGTCATATTATGGCAGCAGTTGGCAACAAAGTATACCTTCATGGGGGCATGGCAAATCAGACATTCTACGATGACCTGCATGTTTTAGATTTGGACAAGAAAACGTGGACATTGGTGAAAAATAAGAAAGTTTATCCATCCGCCAGGGCTGCTCATGGAGGGGTGGCTGTAGGCAGTGACATCTATGTATTTGGGGGCATGAACAAGGAAGGTGCACTGGAGGATATGTATAAGCTAGATACAGGTAATGCTAGAATTACTGCTTGAAGATGAAAATCAGGTCAAGGCAAAAATGATTTAAGTTGTGAATATAGAGTATATCTCTGTATACGGTAAAAGTGGTTGCAGGTTTTATTAAGCACAGTATAATTAGTACATGTATATATGTTATTTATATTCTGAAAATTCTTTTTTTTTAAACCGAGTACTTAATTGTAAGCACTTCTAACACCGAGTACTGTATAGTGATAGTGAAAGAGTAATAAATATATATATATATATAAATTATATATTATTATATATATAAATCTTTCCTAGCTTCCATGAAATGGACCAAAATAGAACTAGACGGACCCCCACCCACCAACCGCTTAGATTTTGGTATGTGCGCCATACAACTGGACCCTCCCCCTGCAGAGATGCCATCTGGTGGTGGGGATGGTGTTGCCAGTGGTGGACAGCAGGTCAAAGCAGTACTGGAACAGCAATTGCAAGGACTTAATCTCACTGGGAAGACAGATGGAGCCACAAGCTCTCCAAAGCTAGGTATGGTTAAAGGTCCCCAGCACAAGATTTTCCTGCAAAAACTCATATTTAATGGAATTTCCTGGGGCAAACTTCTTTTCTCCAACTAGCCAACCTTTGATGCTCCTTTCCTAACATCATAACTATATAACAATCTGGGAAAATCAAAAAGTCCTTAAAGCTCTCTCCTGTCAAAATACAATAGGGCGCGCTGTGCTTTGCCTCGCCAATTATCTGCTCTATTTCGCGTAAAGCTCGGCGCCTCATACTTTATCTATACCTTAACTCCTCAAATACTTACAGGTTTGCGTCACGGCTTGTCAGCAGCAAGGCGATAAATGAGATTTTTCTTGGAGACACTCAAATTGGCATTTATCTGTGTAAAAAATTGTCAGAAAATATCACTTGCCCTTGGTTATGTTCAAGTAGAAGTGCTTCATGTAGCTTAAGCTAGAATCCAACATGTTGGATTCTAGATAGCTTTAAGAAAAAAAATTTTTTTAATCATACACTTTGCCTCTTCAAAACATGTTAACTTTTAATTGATCATTTTTCTCTCTCCCTCTGTTTTGGTTTCTTTTATGATTAACATTTATTAAATTATTACTATTATTCAGTAATGTTTGACTACTTTCAGCAGCAGGTCAGCAAGACCAGGACACCGAGAGCAGCAGCACAACTGTAGACGGCAGCTCAGTGGTTGCCAGTGGGGAACCAGGACAAGACCAAGTGGCAGCTGTGGCAGGGAAAACATTGGACATGTTGTTTTTATTTGGAGGAATGGACACAGAGGGTGAAATATTTGATGACAGTTTGGTGTATCTGGTTTCATGACAAGATAGTATGTGATCCTAAGTGAGATTTTTATTTGTCTGCGATGAGTGATGGTCTTCGCTGTTTAGTATGGCAGAATACAGCTGCAGAGCAGGAGACATTTCAGTTAGAGAAAGCAACTGATTGTAGAAATATTTGACTCATTGTTCTTTACCAAGACTCTGGGTCCTCTTCTCCAAGAAAACCTTTGGAATACTATGTATCCAGAAAGGACTGGGTTATCCATGAACTCAGTCTCTCTCTCTCATAGTATTGTATAAAGAGCAGCATACTCTGCTAATGTTAGAATGGGGTTGTGTGGTATCAAGCTCAAATGTTGTAATTAATTTTTTTAATTACAAGTCAGTTACATTATTTAGACATTCATGTGCATAAATGCCAATCATACTCGTGCTCATTTTACATTTTGATTTTTCATTTATCATTGCTGGTTACACAGATTACTTTCTTCATCCACACCATATAAGAGTGATACAGCTCTTTTAAACAGCAACGCAAAATAAGAATTTTGAAAGGGCTTCATTTTGTTCAAGTAGTTTTATAGCAAATCTTTGTAGAGTGACATTAATTTGCGGTGTTTATATTTTGTTTTATTAGAACTTTTGGAAGGGCGAGAATAATTTTGCTAAAATATCTGTCCAAGGAAATAAGATTGCACTGGGTAGTTTATGCTCATTATTTGCTGGTATGTCTATATGATACAATTCAAGTGTTAAAGACATCTGGTTTCTTAATGTGCTGAATAAGAGGGTGAAAGAAAAGTGGTTTAAATGAGTACTAGCTGCTGAATAGTATTTTAAGCAATGTGTATTGTTGCATTTAACATCTTTGAATTGGAGAAATTAATAATATTGCTTGTGGCATAAATCGGGAGACAAATAAAACATGAATGAAATTCTTGTCAAATTTTGCTTTAGTCTATCTGATAAAAAAGCATTTCACATAAAGTTTAAAACTTAAGACCCCCATAAGTTTGTAATGATTCACTGATTTTATTATGCATTACTTCTTTACTACAACACTGAACAAACTGAATCATGCTATGGCTATCATTTGAATGACCACAACTTGCCGTTTAAGGTGTGAAAAGACCACTTAAAAACCTGAAATTGTTTCAATTACAGCTTTGTATCAGTCTCTCTGTTCAAGATTGCCATTCTCAGGGTTCTTAGCCCCTGACCATTGTGAACTGAAAACACAGTGAAAACCGTATCCAGCTGCTTATTATCAGCTCTCCACTCTCTTCACATATAACATTCATCATTAAAGTAACATGTATATATTTATTGAACACAGTGGTACTACTCCCATAAAGTAAATTATATTTTAACCTGAGATCATTTTACATTTTCTCTTCTGAAACATTTTCTTCTTCACAACCACCAATCTATCCATTAATACCATTTTACAATAAAATGGTGAAGCAAACTAACATTGTAATGCAGTTTCTTCAGCAAACAACATGCACCAGTATAATAGTGTGATACGTACTTGTGAGGTGCACTTACATATTACTTGCAAATTATACCAGTATGATATAACCATAATATGTTAAACCAGCTCTCCAGCATCGATATGTTTTCCATAAACAACTGACATACCTAAATTGATAGCATCATGTATAACATGAGTCTCAACTCCCCTCCTACCTTCATATTAGAAAACCAGTTCCACTACTCAATGAAATTTAATCTATATTGCAAACATACATTCTAATATGCCAACATTTAAGCCCCAAATTACAAGACTATGTATTTAGTCTTAGTCAGTAAACATTGTAACCTACTGCCTTGACATACCAATTTACTGAAACTAGTTAATCGAACACACCAAATTGTAGACCACAATTCACAAGTCAATGTGAATGTTTATAGCTATACACCTAAACTGCATCAGTTGCAAATAGAATCTTTTCATTCAGACAAAAAAACTACCAGAGAATATATCTTCACTTTATGAAAAAAATGCCGAATAACAGTAGCACCTCAGGCCCACATTAGGGCTCCCTTTTAATACCAAAACCCTCTAAACAGGTAAATACTACAGACAACAGACAAACTTTTAAATTCTGTGACCCAAAATTAAAGCATCTTCCATTTTGTTGGCAACCTGCGAGTCTTTCCTTGAGACCATGGCCTAAATAGTGTTCATATATTCATTTATCACCTCTGTCAAAAAAAATCCCTTTTCATCAAATGCCACAACTAACTGAAGTATACTTCTATTTCTTCGTCAACTTTGTGAGGAAAGTCTGGTGAAATACAATAAAAACATTTGTACTGAGATGTCTGAAACCAGTTCCCTTGGATAGGAAGTTGTAACTCCCAAGGTTCTGCTAACAACTGTCATAGCCAGCAAATTTGATACTAGGCAAATCTTTGGCCCTAGCATATATCCCTAGAGACAAGAATTAACTGGTTGGCATCATGTTTGCACTGGAAATACCTGTCTAACTTTAAGTGGTATTATACCTGACTGCTGGTAGCACCTTCATTAAGTCTGTTACATGCTCAGATCTCGTATGCTCTGCAGGCACATGGTCCCTCTTTTAATACACTAAGTTAATAGAGTACTGGAGAATTGAAGAGATTAAAGAAATCTTAATGGTACACAACTATTTGTCCACCATAGAAATATGGCTTCAACTTATGTCCACAAATGAAAGTCAATTTGAGACTGTTCCCGAATTGTGCATGTTCAAAACTTAGAATCTTAGGCTCTGTTCTCACAACTTTTAGATCGATCTATCACCGCGGGGAGTCTCACTAGATTACTGTCAGATAATCCCCCTTAAGTGTCCGTCCCCGCCTACTACAAGCTTTAAGGGGTAATTAACTTTCGTGTCCGCCCGGCTGACAGCTATTTAGCGTGAACCCCCAGGGAGTTAGGTCGATCCAATGTAGGTCGATCTAATCTATGAGAATGGGGTGTTAGAGGTGTATATCTCAAAACTGTCTAGGAATTCAATCTATCATCCAGCAACTTCATCAAGCTTAGCTGCAAACATCTTAAACTAGAAAGATGCTGACCAGGGTGCTGGCCACTGTGCTGACCTGTCTTTCCACTGTTAAAACATACTGCCTCACATTCCACATGAGATCAGTCCAAACTGTTCAACGTGCCACCTCTCCTGAGACCACAGTATTCCATCTAGAACTCCCTAAAATGCTCGACTCACTGCTTTTTTGACCACAATTTCATACAAGTTCTAAAATCTGAAATGCAAGACATTAAGGATTTTATGTATTAATCCCAAGTAATATATATGTGTATGAAACATTAATCCAATTCCCACCATTTATTTGTTAATAAAATTAAGAAACCAAACATCTCATTAAAAAAATATTATTGACAAAAACCTTTCATACAAAGTCTGTTTTAAATCAAAGAATAGGAGATATCAACAGCCCATATTATACTTCTTCATCAAACCTATAACCATTAACAGACAAAATGCTATTGGACTTCATCACTAAATATTTTCAAGAAATTGATAAGCTTACCTTGATTGTTCCTTGACTGTTTGCAGCAACCACAACATTTGATCCCTAAAATAGAATATGGAAAAATTATGTGCATTTTTACTTTAAATAGTACAAATGGGGATGCTTTATTTCTCTGTACCTGTGAAAAAAGCTTTCAAATTTTAACTACTATTTGATGATGTTATACTTATCCAACACCATGACCTTATACTGTGTTATAGAAGTCCAATTTTTAGGCACTTGCAAATTTGGCATAAATTGAACATTACAGGTCAAACTAGTTACAGTTCTGAACATCCCATTAAAATTGTCTTCAACAGATCTAAAAACACCATGGTATTGAGCCATCTTTGAAGGATTTTGAAAGTATTTAGAAAGTGTTATTTTCCAAAGTTAGTCTTTAAAATACTCACTGGCCTCCAGCTGACCGCACTGACAAACTCATTAGTATCTTCTTCTTTCCTGTCCTTCTCCTGCAAACATAACAAAACAAGCCTTATTTACAAAAGACACTTTAAATGCAGGCCTCTGTGCTAAAAATGTTATACTTACTCAGAAGAAAATATTAGCGGTGGGTCCTGTGCAGTTAAATTTAAATTTTCTACTTCCCACCCCCCCCCCCCCCCCCCCTCCACTTTACATTGCTGCAACATTTTATTCCTCACTTTTAACATGCCCGAGAACACCATGTAAAAAGTTAAGGAACTACTTGATTCAAGCGTTCTCTCTTTAGGTCTAAAAACAAAGGTGGTGATACCATGCTCTCAGATGTTTGAACACAAATACAATGATCAGAACCACTATTTGAAAATTTCAGCAGTTAAAAATGAAGTGTCCCTAGGCATTGTAATACTGTGCACAGCTAATTAAAGTTTCTGATTTAATATAAAGTCTTACCAATACACTTCTTACTGTGTCAAATTTGTAGGTGACCAACTGTTTGGAAAGTCCCCGGAAGTAAACACACAAAGAATTATTTTCACTCCCTGAAAACCAATAAGAAATCATTAACCACCTACCAATTCAGTCAATGAATGTATAAATGGCAAGTTATCCTTTTTCAATATAAATATTAACAATAAAAATTTTTTCTGAATTTTTTCCTTGAAGTTCATAAATACCTATTTTAAAAATACAAGCAAAAGGCATTAATAACTTTAACATCTTTCATTTACATGGTACATATACCTTGATAACATCAATATTTCATTAAACACACAAGTGGAATCACACTATGTTTACATCAAAAAGAAACAGGAAGTTTTATGATATACTAACCACAGGCAATGTAATCCCCATCTGTGGCTAACCCAACAAAGTTCTTCTCATTGACATGACCTCTGAATGTCCTCACACACTGAGGTTTGTTCACATTCCACAGCTTTAACTGACTATCTGTGGACCTGAGAAATTGAGAGAATAATTTCACTATCATAATCATTATTATTATTTATTTTTTTAGAAATATAATCCTGCCACAAATAAGTAAACTTTTGATCCAACAATGACTGTCATGCATGAATGGTTAACATTCTTCACAATAACAGGTTTTATTTCACGTATTTAAATGTACAATATACAGGAGAAAAAAATCCATTTAACCTGTTCTAGTGCATTAATCATCTAACAATATTCATATTTCCACCTATGATGTACACATGAAAATAATTTCGTTATGCTACATTTTCATTAATATATCCTATAACAGTGACAACTTCTACTGCTTGCAATGAAAACATATACAAAGACATTGCAGTATTACTAATTTGGGTTCTATAGAATAATTTTATGTTCAAGCAGTTATGTAACTATAAGTACAAATGACTGATTGAGAAGGCTGTAAGTTTCTTACGCCGAAACCAAGTCTGAAGAGTTGACAAATTTCACATATGACACAGCTTTCCGATGGCCTTTGAAGGTCATGAGTGGCACCTTAGTGTTGCGAAGGTCGTAGTAATGTACACAATGGTCTGGAAAGAAAATATCATTTTCACTATCAAAATCAGAATAGGCACGTCTTCCTCATTTTACCCTATACTGAAGAATAAGTGGAATATTACACGAATTCACATTATAGTTTATAAATGAGTGTTGCACTTGTCATGCCAAGTAGTTTAAAAGACCAGCAGAGATACATTTATTCACACCTGATTAATGTATGGTAACAGAATCACCTAAATCTTTGCAAATTAATAAACAATTGCACAAACCAAATTTTAATTTAAAATATATTATGTTCTCAGCAAACATTATTTACCAGACTTGAAAACTCTGAAGCAATATTTATTTTTTGCCTAAAATCCCATAACTGTTCAGTTAAAAGTAAAGATAATGTTTATGATAAAAATAGTGATGACTTTACTGCTGCTGACCTGCAGAACCAAAAGCTAAGTGATATCTGCTTTCGGGGTTAAACTTGACACAGCACACATTGGCCTTGGCCTCTATACTGGCCACAGAATGTTCCACGTCAGTTGACCACAACTTCACTGTTAAGATAAATATATATTAATAAATTAGTTAATAATTAATGCATGAAATTTTGAACTGGCTAAAAGTTTCAATATTCTGACTAGTTTCAGATTAAAATAATAATAATAATAATAATAATTTTTTAAAAAATAATAAATTGAGATTGATTTGGTTGATACAGTTTCAGACTAAAAAAATAGTAGTAGTAATAATAATAATGAATACTTAAGTTAAAATTGAATTGATTGACATAAACTTTCATTATGAAAAACCCAGCAGCATCAGCCATTACCTTTGGCATCATCTGAACCTGAAGCTATAAGTTTAGGATCCATTCTGTTGAAATCCACACTCCAGCACCTTTTCTCATGTTCCTGCAAGATAATATTTTAGTTCAATCTTGAATGTCTGCATTTCTTAGAACAATTCAGATTACAGAAAAGCCTGGTCAAATATCTGTCTCTGAGCTTACTTACTCAGTTATTTACTTCACAGTTCCTGGCATATTGCCATGGAGATCTCCTTTCTCCCCCCTTTACTTTTAACTTGGACATGAAAGCTTCTGTAACTAGAAAAAGCTATAACTAAAGGTGATTTCTACTTTACTACTTTTTTGTCCATATATACTGGACATTTACTTATATTCATTTCAACTGTGCATGTTTACTCAGATCCTTTTCTTACTGCACCTGAAACATCCTGTGCTTCACCCCACTAAATGCATCCCAGATTGTAATTGTCCCCTCGTAATCAGAACTGGCCATTGTTCCCTTGTGGTATGCACTCCATGTTACACAGCTGGAATGAAAAGACAGGTTTGAAGACAAATAGAAAAGACAAGAATGGGGGAAAATCTCCATGTCTATCAAACACAGATCTGCTAAAGACCATTAAATGACTATCATAAATGTAAGGGATTATTCATTGTTCAAAAACAAGCTCCTTACTAAAAATTTCCATTTCCAATCATGAAAATGCCCCTGCAATTGTTTTGGAAGTCTTTTCTTTTTTATTTTTGTTTTAAATGAGAAACTAGAAGTTTCTTTATTGCAATACTGCTCACCTTATTTTTGAATTGCACACCATCTCTGTCACAGGGTAATGCATATCCACTGCATCACTGATCACCATGTTGTATTCAAACACCTAAATAATGGTCAGAGAACAGCGAGTGTAAAGTATGAACCATCAAATAAAAAGAACAAATGTAGACATCTAAGAACTACAGGATGAAATTTTTAATTGACAAAAAGAAGAATGTGAATTCCATACTTTTATCACAAATTCAAAGGTGGAAAGACTGGATGTACTTCTTAACAAAATCACAGCTATGCAATGAGAAACTAAAATGCTATTTATACTAAATTTTGCTGACATAAACATTTAAATAAAACCACAATATTTGAATGACATGATCAAGATCACAAGTTTATCACACAAACCTTTATTTTCTTGGTGACTCCAGCAATAGCAAAATAATCACAGTCACGATCAAATTCAATACTGAAAAATAAATAGTATTATTATTATTACTATTTCTTCTCTTCTCTTCTGAGATATGACATTTGTATTTAATCACTTTCACTCATGATTTAAATGCTTACACCTGACACTGACTCTAACATTCAGAATTTAGTCACCAAATAAAAAATTAAGTTGAATTTGACACATGAACAAAAAATAAAAAAGAACTTTTTTATTTTATTTTTTTGAGAGAGTGAGAGAGAGAGAGACTACCTTGATACTATACTTGAGCCATTATATATGTCACTGGCATAACTAAGAGTAGCTAATGGACGAAATGAGCTGAACTGGGTAAATTTGGAAAGGCTATCACTAAAATCTTCCAGTCCATCTGAAGAGGTACTACATGTCTCCCCTGTAAAAAAGGGCAATTTTTCACATGACTGTCTGCAGTGTTGGCATAAAGTATATGAAACAATGCTAAAACCATACTGCACAATCATACACATTTCTATTGCTAGCGTATATATATATTTTACTTTGTCTTTCATTTTGTCTCCTGGGTCAATTATCAAAACAAACAACTTGTAGCTAGAGACTTTATAGTATTGAAACTATGTTATCACAAGGAAATGACGCATCACAAACATTCATAATCAAATAATCATGCAGCAGAGTATTCAAATATTGACTGACATCAAAAATAATTCATGAGAGAGATAATTACCAGATCCATATTCTTTTAACCTAGTTGAGAAATAACATTGTTGCAGATCATCAAAATGTTGGCTGACTTTTTTCCTCCTGGAAGCCATAGTGGTCTGCAGCCACTGTTTCCCACCATCCTGGAGCAAAAAACAGAATGTTACATTTTTGATCTCAATGGTATTGAAATATAGTCACTTATCCAAGATGTAAAGATTAATAATACAATGTTTGTCATTGTGGAAAAAAAAACTCAAAAAGAATTATATGCAAAACCTTAAGTGTATAATCATATTTACAAACATTAAAGACATAAGTAGGTTGGCAGATTTAAATGTCAAATCTACACATAGGAAAAGGGAAAACATTGAAACATGTAATAAGACTTTTGAATTATAAAAAAGATTATATTCAACTGGTGTTACCATGTGAGACTTTTGATGTACCACTGGCAAATGTGTTAATGCCATGGAGATTTATTTATTTATTTATTTATTTTGGGGCTGGGAAAGGAATTGTTAGCATAATCAGTATGCCACTGTAACATTTTGTATAACATGATTAAATATGCAAGTGATATTTGCTTATCCCATATTCACAAGTCATATTTGATCATGCTTTAAGCAGATACTTGTATTTTTGATACAATTTCTGACAGTGACACTAAGAGCCATTTCTGTCTTGTTTTGTTGTCACTGCCAGGTGTTATCACTGACAAATGCCAGCATGTCACTTACATGTCTGCTCCCATTGAATCCTTCCTGGCTACTGCTCCCAACACTAACACTGCTACTACTACTAGTACTACTGCAGTGGGGCTCTGCACTCAGAGGTTGATCAAGCCCATTTACTAATGTGGAGGATTCCTAAAATGTAAATATTATTATAATAGTTTTTCCACTTCTTTTAATACTGGTTTATGGCAGGTTACCATATATTGGTCATAAAATTAAATTTGTGCATATAAAATGTGAAAATACAAATTCTTCAGGCTGACTAAATTTAATATATTAATTCAATATAGTGAGTAAAGTGTAGATGAGCAGTCATAGCTGATGCAATGCCAGCAAATAAACACTTTGAAATTTCTACCTGCATTGCAGAAAAAAATAATCATAAATTGCAGAATATTTTTATCGCAAAATCTTTGGTTATTTTGCATACACCAATAGTGAACTTACAGGAGATAATGGAGTAAAAGGATATTTCTTTTTATATTCTTTCAGTGCTGTCTGCAAAGAGAAAGCATAAGTTGTTTAACAGCAACAATATATTCTCTCACTCACTATTAGAGATTCAGACAATATATTATAAAAATTATGAAAAATTGCCAGTTAATTTACTTGAGTCTAACAAATAAACTGGTAATTTTATAAATCCCATTACTAAGTGATAAGCTACAACATGGGTGCAGCCATTGGCTGGTAATTTATGTATACCTTAGGCTAAAGGAGTGTTACTTAAGGCAATGGAATTGGTCAACATTTAATCAGTGATCAAATTATAGATATCTGACAAGAGGAAAGTAACGTAGGAATCATACCTCGACCCTGCTATAATCTTCATCAATGATATGTACTTCTCTTGTTAATCTGTCTAATTGCTAAAAGACAAGTACCATTTTCTTTCAGAAAATTCTTGACAAGCATCCATATAATAAAGAATTCCGAGATATGCAAATCATAGACAGGTTGATACTTCACACCTGTACTTTGAAAGTTTTGACACAGAACTGACAGTCAATAGAAAATCAATGCCAAGTTATTCCTGTGGAAAAACAAGTTCAGAAAATAAGAAAACTAAGTGTGTTAGTCCATGTTACAAGTGATAAGAGGCTGACACAGGTCTTTTTCTCTTAATAATGTCTGCCACACTACATAAATACTCGATGTGTGCATTGCTCAAGATAGTTGAACTCTTACCTCTTGTTTTCTCTGTCTCAGCTGTTGGAGAAAATCTTTAAGAATCTGGTTTTGAGCTATTTTGGAATCCTGCAAATATGATTTTGTAGTGAAATATATCTATTTTTAAACTAAGCTGGCTACTAAGTTCTGTGTAACAGAAAAATCTAATATTTCTATTTTTCAATTATATCAAGTATGTTTACTTATCCATAGAACTTCCTGCTAGATTTTCAAAATTCAAAATACAAAACGTCATCAAATGCTCAATATTCCATGGTAAACTACTGCAAATATACACTTAACATGTTTTTAATGTTTATTTATCATTCATGCAGAAAAGAAAATCAATTATTCATCTTAAACAAAGAAAAATGTATGATACCCTTGAGTGAGCTTCGTGTACTTACGGATTCTAGTCTCTGTTTCTTCTGTGTCAGTAGCTCCAGCATAAAGTTGACATTGGCCAGATCCAGACTGTCCTGGTCAAGTAAAAGGTCCTGGACAGCTACTGGGGTGATATGCCCATTCTATAAAATATTCAAATAATAATCATCACATTGTTTTCCACTCATTAAATGTCTGCATGTTTGAGTAACATAATATAACTTAAGACATTTAATACTGTTTGTGAATATTATTTAAACAAACAGCATATGGTTCAAATTCTAAGTAATTTCAGACACTAAAAATACTTAATCAACAACAAAACACAAGTGAATACAAAAATACAAGTGAATTCATAAAAAAATCTGTCTACCATTTACATATTTGGAATTTTGCACTTGTAATGCTTTGCTTCTTTAACCAAACACACAATACAAACCCCAATTCCTGACGCTTTTATGAATTAATAAAATGCTACACACCTGTTGTTCTAACTTGGGTTTCTTCTCTATCTTTTGTCTGTGTTTTAAAATCAATTCATTTACTGAAAGAAGAAAAAAAGCAGCATGAACTTAGGTTTACCATATAAAAATGGCATACTTTTGTCCTTCTGACAAAAACTGGGGTCTCAGTACAACCCATCCCCAGGTAATAATGCTTATACCATTATTATTATTATTATTTCACACAATAAAACAGCCCATAGGCATATATCATACATACATACATACATACATACAAATCCTACACTAACTGTTCTTATTAACCACAGGAAATAAGAAATCTTCTTGAGTCATTACTTTTTAATGAAAACATCAATCTCAAAATGCACGCTCTTTCCCCTGCAACTGAATTAAGTCTAATAATTATTATTTCATATTTGTTGTCTCTCTCCTTCCCCATTCTCATGTGACCTTCATGTACAGATATAGGGCACTGTATCCTGAGGAAATCCCATCCATTCTTTACTGTCAATGAGGAGACTCCTTCCTCTACTCACTGTTTATAATTAAATCACTTGTCTGCATTTACACATGACTGCATATAAATCAATTTCCTGAGTTGTGTTATTATAAACCGTCAATTACTGAAAATCAGAGGAATACGCCAACTACTGAGATACAAGCTTTATGAAATGTAAATACCTTCACATTGGCGAAACTGTAAAAATAAAAAATAATACATTTCTATCAGCTGTATTCCAGAATCAAAATAGCAAAGATAGTCAACCATACAGTTTTAAGAAAACCATGCATGTTTCTGGTTTTCATGACAACACAAAAACAGCTTAATTCCGACAAACAAAAATAAACATTTTTTTATTTCAAAACATACAAGTAATGTGGTTTCTTCACTAGGTTCAACTAACAGAAGAACTCAACATGTATGGCAAGTGAGGGCATCTATAAAATGCAATCAAAAATTCAGAACTCTGTATTTCCTCCGTATTTAGCCATCAATTCCCTTTATTCTAAGATGTCACTGTAGATAACTTGACTCAAAAAAAATTATATTAAATAATAATAATAATTCTGAAAACTACAAATTTGGCAAATGTAACTGAATTACTCCATGAATACATTTGCATTCAATGCTCTCAATAAAATTACATTCAGAGAATCTGTCATCAACCTGAAGTACAAAAGTCATTATAGTATTTCCTCAATTTCAATTTTTTTGGATTTATAGTACAGCATTCAACATTACATTTCAATCACTCACCAGATGTGCTCCTGATTTACTCCAATCTGCACAATAGATTCTTTTCATTGTTCTAAAATTTTCTACAAATCTTTTTTCTTTTTTTTATTACTTACAGAGGAAATTTGGAAAAATTTGATCTGGTGTGTCCATCACAAAGTTACACTTTGGGCAGCGATTGGACTGGTCTAAACTCTGCTTTATACATCTGTGGCTGGAAAGAAGAATAAAATAATTCACTGGTAGATTGAAGACCACAGGACTTAATCTTCTTTCCTCTAAAGTCTGATAGCCACTGCTTAGCTTAATCATGCTTATTAAAAGCTCACTCAAATCACTAAACATTCATTTAAAAAAATTTCATAAATTAATCTAGTACATTTTATATTGAAAAAAAAAAAGAACATTAACAGCTAAATTTCTCATCTGACTGTGAAAAGTTGTGAAACGGTCAGGCTTAAGATCTGCATTTAATTCGACCGACAATATTCCATACATGTAACTGCAGAAATACAAAAATCACATTAGCTTTATGAATAAACACATGCTCACCAAAAACTGTGTCCACATTTTGTCATATGTGCTTCGTCAATCATCCCAAAGCAAATGGGACTGAAATTAAAATTAATAAAAATTATTTATAATATAACTTATCCTTGGCAAAAAATTGTTTACATAATCTGTAGTATCCATTCTGTGAGGTTACTGTCAAAATTACCCTTTATTCAAAGAATGTCATTTGTAAAGCACTTTAAACTATTAACATGCATTTTAAATTTTTTTCATAGTTATATCTTATTCAAATGGTTACAGGTTTCCAACAATTTTCTTTAACTCAAAGTAGGGGAAGGGTCATTTTGAACCCCAAGAGAAATACATATCAGGGTCTCATTTAAGTTTTCGTGGGTCACTGTGTTAAATAAAGGGCATATTTTCACAAGAGTTTGTCCCAGACACCGAAAGCCGAACATTGAGACTTGGAGTAAAACTTTCTACAGCCATCTTTAGATCAAAAACTGTATGGCAGGAGGTTGTTTATGATCTGAAATCATCTAAAGCCATATAAATATCCACGATTGATTTCAAAGCCATGACAAAACCAATTCCAACTGATAACTTAAAGGGATTATATCAGTGAAAACAGCAGCACTCAATCAATAAATGGCTGCAAAATCTAACAGCAAACCCTTTTAATATCCTCTCACATGCTGAACACACCAATGTCATCATAGAAACCATTTAAGTTATATACGTCGGCGCCTTGCAGGTCTCTTACTGTTTACATCAATGCCACACCCACCCACTCTTTGTATAAGAAGTGCTTCCAACATCAGATAGAACCCCATAGGCTTCTGTCCCTAACATGGAGATATTCAACTGTTGCCATTTTTTATTCTATTGCCTAAATCAATCTATAATTTGTTTTGTATGGCATTTTTCTATTAGCAAAATGAGCTTTTTCAACCTATTTTATTTTTTAAAAAAANTATTCTCATAGCAAACTTGACATTGTGTTGTTGCTTCTTTGCTGCCAAGTTCCAAACCGACTTGGTCATTAGCCAGCCTTCTTAGTAAAATGGTAGAACAACACTTAATGTTAATGAATAAATTCTTTTTACTGCTTGTCTAGGGAGATAAAAATCTTGTTTGTCCCTGATTTACCACTTGTGAATTATGAATGTGATAATACTCAACAGACTGCAACCAAAAGTGTCACTTAAGTTGTCAGTTTGTTTTGGAGACAACACTAGAATTTGTCTTCTCTTGACTGTCAGTTCTCCTATTAATGTCCCTATGTTTTGTAGCTTTCTCACAGGATCTATGTCATCTAATCTGTTGAATGCAGCTGTATGAGAATGCCTAAAATCAACAGCATTTTAGCAACATTTCAAGAGAGTCTCCATCAGATGTCTCTTTCACCTTAAAACAATCCAATCAATGTGTTTTTATGTACCAATTAAAACCTTTCAGTTTTGTACTGATATTTTGGTATTTTTCTCGTTATGTACAGTTACAGATCTGAATTTTAAAAAAATCAAGTTCTTTCTCTGGTGGAGAAAACACAGCCAGCAAAACCCACACTGCATTGGCTTTTGACATGTTTTGTATCTTGGAGCAGCCTTTGCAGTTTGGTAAATTCATCAGACCTGTATGCATCTTAGCAATTTTTAAATGTGTCCATTTGTTTAAGCTTTTGTCCGTAGGCATTTTGGCGATTTTCCTAGTTTGCACTTGCTTCTGAAACTCTACCTTCACCATTTTGGTGAAGTCTAAACCTACACCATTGAAAAGTATGTGGTTGGTATAACAGTCTGATGCCATTGAAATATGATAAGACCAGTTACAAACCAAGTTTCACAAACAACATTGGGGGTTTGATACTGGTATATATATATATATATATATATATATATATATATATATATATATATATATATATATCACGGCTGGTAAAGGGGCATTTAACCTCCAGTGTTGTTGCTTCATTTATAATTCTGTCGGGTGTACTTGCTAAGTATGGATACTGTGCTGATGTACAAACATGCAACATCACATTTTTCTGACACCTGATGTCTCTTCACATACTCCAGCACTTTCTCTGTATCTACTGATATCACTGTAACGAACCTGTGCTTAGAATTGTTGCAGCTCTGCCATGAGCTATCTATTTTGATGGCACAGTCCACAACCTTCCCCAAATCGACGTCCACGCCATGCAGAAGCTGTTTTCTCTTGTAGCACCACCTTATTCATGCTCTTCTAGGTAGACTGGCAAGCAATGTCTCTTAACTGTTTGGTATGGTCCAGCCAGGGATGGCTATGAAGAGGGAGAGGCATGGATAAAAATGCACTCAGTCTTTTAGGAGCATAACAACATTTTCCAACTGCACGCATGCCCAAAACGCTAGGCCTTTTAATTAAAAAAAATATCCTGTTCTTGTAGAAGTCATTGACCGACCTTCCTCAGACATGCTGCCACAGAACACACATGCCCATTTCAATTCACTTGACCATCCTGCTTGGCACTTTGTTGATTTCTCTGTCAGCCATACCTTATTCCCACTATCCAGTACAAAAACACACCAGGCATCTTCATGACCAAGACTAGTGGTTGACTGGACTTTTATTTTTTCCAGCACCTTTCTGTATGACATGGTGGCTTCTAGGCAGCAGCTGACTACATGGACAGGGCTTTTAATAATAAGGAACAGACAGTTAAAACCAGCAAGAACATCCTTATAGCCTTCATCTCATCCAGATATGCAACACATGGGATGTGGCAAATTTTAGAACAAGTGGAATATACACAGCCAGAGACAGGAAGGTGATATGGTAAGCAGTATTATTACAGTATTATTGCAGTAATGTAACAAACAAATTTGTGAGGAACCATGTTCTAAAATGATATTTTGTTAGACTGCAATGTTTGAAACAAATGATTATCTCCCGCAACTGTCATCTTTTTCTTTATTTTGACAGTATCATTATTTATACATAACATATATAAATATATACATATAAATAAATTTAAAGCATTTTCAAGCTGTTGTATTGATTATGGAATCTTCATGCTGCGTTTTTTTTTTGTCAGTTGTTATGCTTTCAGTGGTATCACTTAAGAGATTTATATTTACACATGGGTTTTTTCCTTATTTGCTTAGATAATGTGGAAATAAATAGTGTCATGTTATGAAATAATACTGTTGCATCAAAAATAAATCTGGGTGAATTTGCCAGCTTGATTATATAATAGCAGTGCTTTTTGAAAACTGTAATATTAAATTCAAACATATCTCCCTCACCTGAACAGCTAACAGCACTGTTTTAACACCCATTTAATCACAACAACAAATACTGCAATCTGATCCAGAAAATTTTCTTAAAAGTTTTACCTTTGATTTTATCACAAAAGATCTGAAATAATGTCTTTGTTTAATGGAGCATTATGATTAAGGGCTCATATCTCCTATCACTTTGTTACAGAGCTACACTGGATACACTGTATATATCTCCTATCACTTAGTTACAGAGCTACACTGGATACACTGTATCTCCTATCACTTAGTTACAGAGCTACATTGGATACACTGTATCTCCTATCACTTAGTTACAGAGCTACATTGGATACACTGTATCTCCTATCACTTTGTTACAGAGCTACACTGGATACACTGTATCTCCTATCACTTTGTTACAGAGCTACATTGGATACAATGCAGTACACTTATTCTTGTACAAAATATAGGTAATGAAAAATATAACGCATTTTTAAAAATATTTTTGGCAGTGTCCACTGGGAACTTAATGTGCATTTCGTGCAAATGCCATCGTTTAGCTATAAATGGTGCTATTAATGTCATTCATGTATTATTTCAGCCCAAGCCTGCATCCTAGGTTGGTACATTTCTCGGGCCCAACTCCTAGGAGTATTTTTGTTGTATGATAGACTCGCCCTTCAAGAAATCGACGCCTTCAAGAAATCGACGAAAACCGGAAGTGCGTGTTTTTTGCACTGTTTTTCCTGTCATGCCCATCGTAAACACTGTGTTGTCAAGTAAAATGAAGCGTCTGATCAAAGTATCAAACGCGGCATTCACGTGCTTGCTTGCGATGCGTTCAGTACACTTTGTTTACACTGACAAGTCGAGGTCAGAAATGCACAATGTTTTTCTATGTAATTACGTAGTTTCAGTTTTGATTAATGAATTTTCTTTTATCAGCATGGTCATTTTCCGAACATTTGTATAAGCCACGAAATATTTCTCATCGGAAAATCACCCAGCAGCTTTCCAAGTACAAGGGAGTGACGTCATGACGCACTTCCGGTTTTCGTCGAGATCTTGAAGGGATTAGCGTTACGGTTTGCTGCACATTTAAAGTGTTCTGTCTCAAAATGTACTTAACTGCTTGGATTGAAATTTACGGAACTTATTCTTCACATGATATCACACCTATGTGCCTAATTTGAGAGCTTTAGCTGTTATATGTTTTCTACAGTGCCCATTCAAATTTGAAAAAGAGCTATTTTCCATCGATTTCTTGAAGGGCAAGTCTATGATATATAGTATTTGTATGTTGTTTCTTTCCAGCACTTGGCCTACTTCAAAGTGGTCCATGTTCACCATGGCTTGATTGTCTTCTAAGCAGAGGAGGAAGTTACATATGGAGAATTCTTCAGATATTCAAGAGAAGTTGCAGGTAATAATTACATAGTTTTTCATTTTAAATTGACAAAAACCTTGTTTGACAAAATTGACAAAAACAAGGGGCCTTGTTTTTGTATTATAAATTTAAATCTTTTGTTTCAAATTGTCATTAAATAATTGAATTGAGTTGTTTCTATAGAACACAAACAGTGTAGGTTGCTCTGTAAGGGCCCATTCCCAATGAAAATACAGTTCTACATAGATAGAGTCAACTCCAGGGGGACTCTTGCTGAATGCAATCAGACTACCATGCCTCATAATAATGGGCAAGTCTACTTAAGTTTGCGTTTGTTTTAGGAAAAATTACCAACTGCTGCTGCTTTATTGGAGAAGTTTCTTGTTGAGGTTTGACTATTGTAATTAAGAGCTACTTATTTTGGGAACAAATTATCAATGAATCACATGTTTATTTCCTTTTTCAGCTGACAGAAGAAACGGATTAGAGTTATCAAATGTTTTAACTTTCATCACTGGACTGATGGACGTGAAGCTTCTGGGATTTCAGCACCAACCTAAAGTCACATTCTCTTTTTACTATGGACTCCTTTTTACATGCCCACAGAAACTGCTGGTATTGTGTGCACCTGAATTAAACTTACGGTTGCCCTTGCTAGGAGGCAAGAAACTTATAACACAAGAACAACTATTTGATTTTTGAGACTTAGCTTTTCTATCACTACACATATTAAGTACTGTGTTATAGAAATGTCACACGCTGAGTGTGTTGTTAGTGTAGTTTATCTGTTAGAATTGGATTGAGATTATTATCATGTTTTTATTCACTGAGATGAACCTCAAGTTGTTTTGTGGGTGTGTGTGGTAAATTAAGAACTTTCAAATGGCAAAGGAAACAGTGAAGGTTTTGAAAGCCAGCTTTGTACATATATATATATATATATATATATATATATATATATATATATATATATATATATATATATACGTACACTGTGCATGATGTTAGTCTGTAAACACTGACAAGTTGAAAAGGATTTTTTCTATATTTCCTGAAATATTCCTGATTATATACTGGGGTACATAAACAGTATCTTTTAAAGAGTACATATAATACTCAGTAAAAAGAAAAAATATAGTGAAAAATATGTATGAGATTTAGTTTTTCACTTTGTTCACCAGGATGACATGAATAGAATCATACTGTTCTGTCTTAAATGTCATGGAACACAATACTGCAGTACATTGACAGCAGGCAATCTAAGGGTGTTTTAAGTGTGGGCCATATTGGATCTGCAGCTTAGTTCTGAAAACCAAGAAAATGGAACCAAGGTCCTCTTCCATTATTCCATGCACCATTATTCAGACAAAATGCCTGCTTGGAATTAAAAGATCCAAGTTTGTATATGATGTAAAGTCAAAATTTAAATACCAAATAAATATTCTAACCCTCAATATTGTTTTTATTTGTTCCTTTTATGGACTACATTTTTGTTATTTATAAAAACATTTTATTCAGAAAACTCACTCATGTCTAAGGAAATGTAGATAAAGAAATGTTTGCTTTCAGAAAAATTGATAAGATGGTAGTATTTGTTTGTTTGAAAAATTACATTTTAAAGCATGCCTCTAAGTTCTGTTTAAATGTTCCAATGTTGTTTTATTCAGAGTTGTTTATAAAGTTACATAAAACCACAAACTGAACATACGTTGTTGCCTTTAATAACAAAAAAATTCTTTAATTGAGGGACAGAGGGTGGGCTATAACATACTGTAAATTACGTGTACTTGTTGTGGTGAGAGGTGTTCAGTTTGGACCAAGGTCAGTGAAAGAAGCTTATTCCACAGTGCTGCTATTTCCACAATCAGTCCTCATATTTAACGCTGACAACGACAGCTATCTGTTGTAAGTACAGTGCAGACGAAGTTTTCTAGCTCATTACCATTGAAAATATCGGTCTACACGCTTCCTCTTGTTCCAACGTACTCTTATAATCACCAATCTTATACATGTATATTCTTTCCAACTCCAGGAGGAGGCGTGTTGATCTGTTCATGTAAGTTCATCTATAATTCCATAGTCTATTAAATTGATGACATTCAAAGAGAGTTGGATCGATTTACGTAGACCGATATTTACAATGGGAATGAGCCCATAGTTTCATTGGCCATGGGGACATTATTAGTTTCCGAGGAGAACGATACCTTCTCTTAAAAGTCGACAATCAATTCTGAGTTTAGTTTGTTATCAGTAATTTTTACAGAGGAAAAGTATCTGCAAAATAAAAAGCAAGAGCCCTAAGGATCAACCGAAGGATCCAAGTTTTTAATATAAATAAATCTGCCGTAGATTCACGGTGTCATGGCAAAGTCTCGCTCGGTACTCCAAGCACTATCGGTATCGGCGTTATCAAACGTTTTCCGGGTCAGTTCGAAAATTCAGAAAATGAAAAATTAAAATGAAAATGAAAAATCTAGGAACGGAGATCCCTTGTTTTGTGTAAAATGATTTCCCCTTATTTGAAGGCCCAAGAAGGTCAATGACACATGTAAAAATATACGTTTACTTCAAGAAAAATACACGAAATAAAATCAATGAAACCTTGTTGTTTTTGTTGCTTCATTTATATGCATATAAACTGTCTATCGGAAATAACATCGTAAAATATTAAAATAAAATGAAATAAAGCAAACGTTTATTATTTCTATAATCTAGTATATTTCTATATCTATTTATCCATGTCATTTCTTGATGTAAACTATNTATTCGTCTTTGTTTGCTTTGTCTTATTGTTGTTCCTCGATCTATGCATTGTTCTATTTTTCATTAAAACCAAATTTGGACGCAGTACACACACACATACACACGCGTTTATATCTGTAACATAATCATTGTAAACATTTATCACAGTGCATTGTTTGATTATTCATGTATTCATGGTGAAATCAGAAGTCCACGATTCATTTGTTATTTTCTTCAGCATTTACTCATACGGTCGCAGTTCCAGCACTGTTGTCTACAACAAGACCCCATTGAACAATTTTGAAGGTAACAGTTTGCATGCTTGCCTTATGCATTACGAGCATATAAGATAATTACCTTTTTGTTATGGCAATAGATATCAACACTAACAGTTACATGTAAGATAATTCAGATATAGGTAATAGTCTAAAATAATATCATAACTTAATCTCATTCTATATACATGTATGTCATTTTGATTTTCTTTCAGTTCACTAGCTTCAAAATGGACTTTCCTGGGGCACCTGATAATGGATACACTGACAGCTGTCTGGGAGGCAACTGGACCAGCACACCAACAAATTGTAAAGATATTTCTGCTCCAGTTCAAGATACACAAGATGTTGACTGTGACATGGGAACTAATCAGATGTTGATGCATGTTGCAGTGTCAACAGCAGTGATTCCTGAGGATACACAGACAACCAGTGGTGCCCAGCAACCTGCTGAACCATGTGGCACCACTTACCTAACAAACACACAGACAACCAGTGGTGTCCAGCAACCTGCTGAACCGTGGGCCACCAATTACCTAACAAATACACATGCAACCAATAGTGACATGAAAAATGCTGAAATGTGTGGAAACACTTATGAAACAAATGAGTTGTTGTCAAAGATCAAGCAAGAATTCCCCTTGGAATGTGATTTCATGAATGTGCCAAATGACAATCTTGAAAGTTATAAATTTTTAGAAGAAAATCATGTAAAAGAAGAAAACCATGTGTTCAATTTGATGTTGACCGAGGCTTTAAGTTCTTTTCAGTTGGGACTGGATGACTCTTTAGAAGTTCACGATGAGGTGCTAGAAACAAAAGATGTACAGCCAAAAAGAGAGCAATTCAATTGTAAACACTGTGACAAATCCTACAATTCCCAAATAAGTAGAGATTCTCATGAGAAAAGGCATCCATCAACAAAAAGATACAAAAAGAAGAAAAGAGCATCTTTCAAGAGAGCAAACGTTCAACTTCTTGCACCAAAATTTTCAGACAGCAGACAAAGCACACATACTATTCCAAGGAGTCATAAAAGCAAAAATGAATTTGTAGACAAGCAAAAAAATGGTAAAATTAGAAAAATTCAAAAGAAAAAAAATGACCCCAAAATTTGTAAAAGAAAAAGCAGTCCAGTTGACCCGCAGAGAAACAAACAGGACAAGGTGCATACTTCTACTGAAACTAGAATTCAAGTGACTTGCAACAAATGTGGGAAATCATTTGCAAGTCAGCGCTATTTAAAGATACATGACCGCTGGCACACTGGAAAAGATCTCAAAAAGTGTGAGCACTGTGGAAAGACCTTCGTATCCAACTCACATCTCAATGAACACATTGGTACAGTTCACTCTGACATCAAAAGCAGTGGAAATGATAATGGTATAAATCAAGTGAAAAAGATAAGGTGTAAAATTTGTGAAAAAAGATTTAGAAGTGAAAGTGACCTGCAGGGACACCTACAGAGTGGAGTGCATTCTGCCACGGAGATTACCAGTGGAGTGGCTTGCGAGGATTGTGGAAAAACATTCGCAAGTCTGAGGTCCTTAGAAACGCACAAACGAAGGCACACTGGAGAAAATCTCCACACGTGTGAGCAGTGTGGAAAGGTATTTGCCTCCAAGTCTCAGATCAATGCGCACATTAATAAAGTTCACAACAATTTCGAACCCCCTTGCATATGTAGCATCTGTGGCAAGACCTTCGGGCAGAAGTACATGAAGGAGCACATGAGGAGGATCCATGGAAGTGAGGGTGCCCAGAAGTTTGAGTGTTATCTTTGTGGGAAGGCTTTTTCTAAGAAATATCTAAATGAACATATGAGACAAGTGCATGGAAACCAACAATACGTAAAAAATGTTATGTGCATTTACTGTGGCAAGATGATAAGTCAGAAATACATTAAAACTCATGAAAAATTACATACTGGGGAAAATCTGCTGAAGTGTGAGCAGTGTGAGAAAACATTTGCTAAAACTTCCCATCTCAAATCACACATGGAAACCCATACGCCGGGATTTCACGTGTGCGAGATGTGTGGGAAGCAGTGCACCACAGGCTCCAACTTGAAGCGTCACATGAGGCAGCATAATGATCCGGAGTCGTACACTTGTAAGCACTGTGGTAAGGTTTGCTCAGATAAAGCTTACCTTCGTTGTCACGAGAAGATACACACGGGGGAAGGATTGTTTCACTGTGACGTCTGCAACAAGACCTTTGTCCGTTTATCACATCTACGCGATCATCAGCAATCTCACAACACTGCTGCTGTTTTAACCTGCAAGTATTGTAGCAAGGTCTTTAAAGGACAAATTGCACTGAGAAAGCATGAAATATGCCACACCAGAGAGAGGACTTTCCCATGTTTAGTATGTGGAAAGTTGTTCTTTACTGCATCCCTGTGTAGAAGTCATGAACGTAGTACACATTTTGCTAAAAAAGATTTCATGTGTAGTTACTGTGGAATGAAGTTTTCAGCTAAAGGGAGGTTACGGGATCATGAAAGAATTCACACCGGAGAAAAACCATTCCCCTGTAACTTTTGTGAGAAGACCTTCAGGTTGAAAAGAAACTGTAAGCTCCATGAAATGATGCACAATGGAACAAGAAAACACTTCTGCCAGTTCTGCAGCAAGGGTTTCTTCCTGAAGTCTCACTGTCGAAGACACGAACTACATTCTCACATGAATAGCATAGATAAGCCCTTCCATTGTCAGTACTGCCCAAAGTCATTCACTCAGCAACGAGGTGTTGATTTACATGAGCGTTTAATACATCCAAATGGACAGACTATTATTTACGACTGCAGTAAATGTGGGAAAGTATTAAAAAATAAGCGTAGTCACAGGAAACATATTCGCCACTGTCAAACGAAAGGGACGTATCAGTGCAAATTCTGCGAGGAAAGTTTGAACACTAAGCTACAACTGGTCATCCACGAAAAGTTGCACTCGGCACCGAAGCCACATGAATGCGAGGTTTGCCAGAGATGCTTCACATACAAAGTTCACCTGCGTAATCACATGAAACTTCACAAAAGGGAGAAGGATGCCCTTCAGCTTCATACACAAACAGTATCGGAGCTATGTCTTTCAGACGCATCCCTTGAAGTTGTTCAAACTTCATAGTTAAAACACAGCTTAACTAGTTGAGCATCAGACTGTGTCCACCATACATGATATAAGGAGAAAGTTTATGAAAAGAGGCCTTTAAAGGGATAATAACTCTTTGTATGAAATCTGTATTTCACAGTAAAAACATTGTGAATGACTCATAAAAATATAATGTATTCTGTTTTCCCACAAAAACGGTTGTTATAGCTATTATTCTGATATCTGAGCTTGTCTTTAGACCACTTGACCTCCATTGATGGCTATACTCTGTTAAAATCTCTTAAGAGATTTTAACAAAAAACCAAACTTTTTAGAAAAAAACCAGGGACTAACTTTGAATGTAAAAATGGATTCATTAACCATTGGTAAGTATGGGAAAATTGTTGTTTACTCCAGGAAAATTCATTTTTTGGCCAAAACGAAGAGTTATTATCACTTTAACAAAATTTACTTCCAATTTTTAACGTTACTTTTACATGGATTACATGTATATTTATTTAATTCCTTTTACAATTTTATTGGATATGGAAATCGTTTATATATAGTGTTTTTAAGCATATTGAGATATGCAGAGGTAACAAGTAAGATATTGCTGCATTCCTGGTCCCAGTCTTGGGATGAGTTGCAAGTGGTGCTTTTTTATTTATTTATTATTTTTTAAAACTATTTTTAGAACACTAGCTGCTTAGATAGGTAGATAGAATAGCTGGTTAATGAATTTTAGTACAAGTAGAGTGTTTCTACAAGGTAATGTTTAATTATTAATTAAAAAAGTTAACAGTATTGACTGTTATGTGTACTGATTAGTGAGAAAGGATTTGAAAACAGCGTAGAGATCAAACCCAACTACCTGACTGTGTATGGTCACATAAGTTTTTTTCTTACTTAGATCTGAAATCTTGAATAACTTAAAGATATGGAATTTATAGAAGTTTTAGTAATCTCTAATCATTTTCTAAGTTTGATATTTACATTGTTTAGTGCATCTTAAGTTCCACATATTTTCATCGGTGTAGGGTAATATTTCAATTTATGTAGTTTTTACTTTATCAATATATATCGTAGTGTGTGTGTGAAGATGGTGTGTAAATACAGGTAGAACAGTACTGGTATCACAGGTAGAATGGACTTAAGTATATTTCATTTAGTTTAGTATGTAAACTTGTTAGTATGCCCCAGATCTAACCTCTGTTTAGCACTAACGTCTTAAGTCACTCCCCCCCCCCTCCTCTCCGCTATATCAGTATTTAGACATGACTATTAGCAAAAGTAGAAATTTCATCATTTCTTTCAATTTGGCAAACACAAGTGGGGGATCTTCAATCCTAATAAGAATATTTTATGAATAGGTGTAAAACGTAATGATTAAGTGCAACATCATTAGTGGTACATTGTAGTATAGTTGGCAAGTATAAAATGTATAACATGCATTCTGTGGTTTTTGTTTTTGCATTCTGGATGGAAATTTAACTGCTTTAGTTGTTTAAAACACTATAATACATAATTCAAATTTGGCATTTATTCATTTGAAATCTAAACTCTACAAAGCCCATAGGTAATATGAAGCTGTTTTAATGTTGAATCCAACATATGTGTGGCATTTGTGTCCTGAACATATAAAAGTGGCTAGGAAGAAATGAAAGATGAAATTGTTATTTAATTTACATAGCTACTGGATAAAATTGTGATTATGTATTAAGTCACTTTTTTTGTTTTTGCCTTTTCTCTTCATTAAACTTTTCTTCTCTCTGACACGGTCAGTGCTTCACAGAATCTATATTGATTGGTGTAGATCAATCGCTGTAAATGGCTTAAAGAGTTTCCTACAACCAGTATAACAAACGATAACAAAACGAAAATTTTCTCTTCTTTTTACATTGCAAGAAAATGTTTCCAGTTGATGAGTAGTGCGTGATAATAATCAGTTTCATTGTTGATTGCAGAAAGAAAACATTTGATTTCAATGTTCAAGTTTAGCATCGACCCACAATGGAACGTTTGGTGAGTGTTGAGAAAGCTTAAAGGGATAACAACTGTTCTTTTTGTCCAAAAAAGAATTTTCCTGGGGTAAATGGCAATTTTCCCATACTTACCAATGGTTAATGAATCCATTTCTACATTCAAAGTTAGTCCCTGATTTTTTCTAAAGAGTTATTATCATTATAATTTTACTTATTTATTTATTTATTTATTTATTTATTTATTTGTAATAATCTCTTAAGAGATTATTACAGAGTATAGCCATTTATGGAGGTCACGTAGTCCGATGACAAGCACAGATTTCAGATTTTAATTTATAACTACCGTTTTTGTGGTAGAATAGGTTGTATTTCTATAAGTTGTTTACAATGTATTTATTGTGGAATATAGATCTCATACGAAGAGTTGTTATCCCTTTAAACTGTCATACAAATGTTGCCTCTGTTACACGTATACTTTTAAGTACTTTTATTTTGCCAACTAATAAATAAGTAGAAAAAGGAAAATATCATTTTTGCATACAGATACTAAAATTATATTCTGATCGGTGTCTGTACGTGTCGCCGCCGTCGCTGCCCGACACATGATGTTTGCCTCATAACTGCCCAACCGTATTTTTGTTTTACTTTAAATTTACTGAGTGGATTTGTTTGGTAAAAAGGCAATTTGCTTTCGAAAATCGGTATGATAGGTTTACAGTACATTTACGGTAATTATTCTGGCTTCTGTTTAGTGCCTGTTAATTCGTCAGATTTGCTGTCTAGTTAAAGACTGGCATGAATATATATTCCGTTCGAACGTGGTTTATAAGTATTGAATCTACTCCGTCACTGAATCTGAGTCTTTAATTATTTAGAAGAAATCTTAAGTACTTCAAAAATACTAACAAACTGTTTGTGCAACCGTTTCATTCTCTCTTAAGGGTTGCACACGTGCTGGGAGTCGCTGTTCAATGTTCTCCCAGGAAACACATAACGTTTCATAACGCTACCATAACGTGTTAAGGTTATATAAACGATACGGTAACTAAGGTTGTCGGCACGTTCTGTGTTTGCTGGTTGGTCGGTTTGAACAAATTGCGTGCTCAATGGTAGTAAATCATGTGGTACGCTGGTACACTATCAGACAGAATGTTCATCAGCTTTCCCGAACTCATCCACGCGTGAACTATCAGTGTCTTTGGAATAAAGCCTGTCGGAGCCCGAACGAGAAGGCTCCACTGAAAATTGCGACGTTGTTGGAGGGTTTGGTATGGCACCAGTTGTCGAAGGGACGTATGGGATCTCGCTGGAACCTTCTTCTTGTGGGTCTTCTCTGCTGTCGTTTTTATCTTTTTGAGTTGAAGATGGGCCTCCATCTGCTTCGCCTGCCGGGGAAGTTTGAATTTTCTTCCTGAATTTAAATAAGCATACGCAGCGCAGATTAATAAGTCGTTGGTATTCATACCTCATGTCTTCAGAAAAGAATAAATGAATATGTTTTGCCAGATTTTTAAACATATCGACTCTAAGAGAAATTACTTCGTAAATGGTGACATCAATCTTTTTCAATGATAGAAACTGGCCTGTAGCTTGTATCATTTAAATGTAGACACAAAAACATTCATACAGTAGGCTAAGTTTTAAGGACAACATTTGAAGGGTGGTAAAGTGACATGAACACATGACACGCGTGTCGTGTGCTTAGAATTACAGGTTATATGTCGGCACCTTTTCATCCGTATCTGAATCCACAAAGCCGTTGCTATGACAAACCCACAAAGTAAGACGACACCAGCGACAGCAGGTAGAATGATAGTGAGGCTTTGGTCAGAACCATTGGGATCCATTTCACGTGCACCTTCACCGACACTCATATTCTGAAATGTAATCAAAGTTATAATCATATACTCGAGTATGGAAAATACTGAGCACGTGACCTAAGTCCATTATTAGATTGGTAGCTAATGTGTTTTGTTTTTGTCAAAGATGGTAAAATCAGTTTTGACCGCGAATTACGTGAAGCATGTTTTTAACATCTTTTGTTTTTGATCGAAACATGACCAAACAAGCAAACATAGCAAGTGCGTTGCGCTGTTTTCTTTGTCGACCAAGGGAACACTGGAGACTCAGGCGTGGTCTCAACGGTACATACTCAGTGCAAGGTCTTACCCTTTCTGCTATCAACATCAACTCCGACATTTTAATGATGGTCAAATTTTCACCTGGAAAAAAATAACCTTACTTTTATGTCCACGTTATTCTCAATATACACTAATGAAATGAAATTTAAGAAAAAATGTAAGAAATGTCACTACATGTTTGTTCTTGAATGCTGCTTATATGATGCATTATTTTCTTTATATTGCATTTTCCTATATCTGTTGCAGCTAGCGTAAGTATGATCCTTCTTGTACAAAACCAAAATGGGCATATTAATAGATAATATCATGGTCGTTGCATCTATGATACTTGATAGAAACGTTTTTTTTTTTTAATTAGTTCATGGGTTGTGCAAACAAAACTACTAATCTTTCTGCAACTGAAATAATTCGGTATAATGGTGACTGTAAACTCCATTTCACAGGGCACATCTTTTAAAAAGCCAAAAATGTGTCACGTAGACTATATGTAAATATTGGGATAGGTTTGTTTACATCATATCTTGTTATTTGCCTAATCCAGAAGCAAAAAAAAAAAAAGATAACGCCCGCCAGTCAATTAAAATCTAAGATAGTCAGAGAAGAATTTCTTCAGCTGTGTTGTTATAAGAATGAAGTGATTTTTTCTTCAGTCAACAGCTTAATATTGAAATAGTATTTACTTTCAATATTTCGATGTCTAGCAGAACAGTTTCATCAGGGAATGAGACTATCCAGGTGAATAGGCATTAGCCTCCATTCCGGAGATATTCTTGCCCCCCAACCTATTGTCTTAGGAAAGGGAGGTAGAGGTCAGGGAGGATAGCACCATCAGGTGATTGACAGTGAACCAAGAGAAAATTACAGGAAAGTCCTGAAAGCCACCCGCATCAAGAAGAAAGGGGCCAGTCTCAACAGAAATGATGGTGCCATCCTCCCTGCTCTCTACCCCCCTTTCCCCAAGACAATAGGTGTGT